GAGAGATTCAGTGAACATGATCAAGGCAGAGTTTCATTAGCTTTGCACAAAAGTACCTGATAAAATGTAATAGTCTAGTTTGCTCCACTGTCAATACAACACTGATGGGGAAAAAAGCCCGAGAGCTTCTTCCAGCTTTAGCACAGCATTTTATCTGATACTGATGTCACAACATATCTATAGAACAAATGCAGAAAACATTACAAAAGAGCCCGTTATATCTTGTTGATATCATGGGCCATTACTCGTAACTGCAAAATATTTTAAGCACTTGAGATCCATACACCATTCAACCTTTTCCACCTTGCAATTACTGGAGTTGTAGTAAGGTTAAAAACTCAGGGAAAAAAGAGTGGCTTAAAGTCAGCAGTAACTGGCAACAAAGGCCCAAAGGCACACAGCTAAAGAGAATTGAAAAGAAAAAAAAGGTTAATTATGCTCATCAGAAGTCTCACAATCACAAGCTGCACACCCCCTGTAGTTATTGCAGTGTACTGTTCATTCACAGGCCCAAAGCCAGTTGAAGGGGGCGCTCAGTGTCAAATGCATGAAAACACACATTAACACTCAGCATACACACACTAGAGAACAGTAAGATACACAGTACATATTTTGCTCAACATTAATTTTCTGTGTTGCGTTAAACACGTCATAGAAACATTATAAAACAGCACTGCATAGAAGTTTGCAGTAACCCGCCACATTATTATGATTGCAGTAACCCAGTACATTATCATGATTGACTTCCAAGGAGGTAGACATTGCAGTCTTTCCAAGTCATCTTTAACAAAGCTTTTTTAGGCTTTCTGGATGTGCTTCAAAGTTTTTCTTTGGACATTGGCTGTTTTTTCCACTCCTTTTCTGTTTAGGGATATTTTTAACTTTTAAGCCATTTATTGCTGACATATAAATCTTTCAGGAATAAAAGGTATTTTAAACTTGATATGAATTTGTGCTGTCTAAACACATAATATTGTAAAGAACCAGTGATATTTAGACTCATTATGCACTCTTTTACTAACAGCCTGTCACAAAAACACACTTTGTTTTCATTTTTTATGTATGAAAAATGCCAAAATGATTATTTACGATCATAAAATTGCATTTTAGCCTTTACAAAGTGATTTTCAAAACATTAAAATCTGAAAACCTGATATAAAATAAATAAACTGAATAATGATGCATCTATTTGGTCTTGTTTTAGTGCTGACATGGATGTATTTGTATTCTGCAATTAAACAACTTTCAGATACTCTGTATTTGCTGTGATTTTTTTTTTTTTTTTAAGGCCTGATATTTTTTTGTCTTATTCTTGTCTGCTTCTTTCATTTTTAAGCATAAATTATGCTCTTTTACCATTTTGGAGAACTGAAAAGAGAAAAAAAGCAATAAACAGAACTTTGCAAGACCTTCAGAAAGTTTAGAGGACTATTGATCTAGACGACTTAAATAAGTTCTAAAAGTCTGATTATTTGGAATCAAAATACAAAGAAACAGTATTTTAACTGGTTTGTCATTTTATGAATAATATACCACATTTCCCGGCCTATAAGGCACACCTTTTTGCCTAATTTACATACACTGCAACTTATATGCCGAAGCGACTTATTTACGTTTTTTCCCCCGATATTTATAACCCTATTTTTGGCTGAAATACGACCATTTTCATTCATTCTGACATAGAAAAGACAGTATTGAACACTAACATTTCCAGCCGTTAGATGACACTCGAGTAGTATGGCATGCCGTTTTGTCATGTAATAGGTAAATGTGGCTATTAATGGCACAATCGGCTTGCCATATCCTGCCACCTTTGTCCAGCTCTGGGATCATACCTGGAAAAACTGTCAAATCAGCTTCATTGTGCTGCGCTGCCCTCGAGAAATGCAGCTAATTTGACCATTACCATGCATTTATTAGGTAAAAGTTCAAATGAGACACACCTTTACTATAATTTCGAGCAAACAAATAATTGTTTTAGGTGCTTATCTTGTTAAATTTTGAATAAATGCACAGTGTTCCTCCTTCCTGATTTCCTCCCTCTGCGTTCTCCACAGAGCAGCGAGGCAGCAAATACTTCAGCTGATTTGACAGTTAAAAGTCCTTTTATTAAGGAAATGTTAAACTAAGACACACCTTTACCATAAAGTCAAGTAAACAAATAATTGTTTTTAGGTGGTTTTCTTGTTAAATTTCGAAGAAATGCACAGCTAGTCGTCCCTCTGCGCACTCCTGCTTCTGCATATTGGCTTTAAAAATGCAATTGATTCGACCGTTAAAGTGCATTTATTAAGCAATTATTTCTAGCAAACAAATAATTGTTTTAATGTGTTAATCTTGTTAAAGTCCTCCCGTGCACTGCCATTTGGCAGCCAATCGATTTTTGGCACAACAACGGCCCACATTTCCGGGTTTGTCGGTGGTAACGTGTAACAAACACGACACGTCAGCGGTGGCGCATAATAGATGCGGCATATACCGTGAAGCGACGTATTTATGGATTTTTCCACTTTATTAGACATATTTGGACTGATCCGACTTATAGGGCGGTGTGACGTGTACGGCGGAAAATATGGTACATGTCTCTGTAGTCTCACTTCTGGATGCTGGTCTTTTTCCAATAGTTTGATGATGTGTAACTTGAGGCAGCAGTGATATCTCACCATAGGCACATGTCCTCTGTTTGAGATGGATAGAAACATGAATACATCTGTGATTTAAACAGATTTCCATTTCCACAGTGCAGAACACACAACAAACAGTGAGTTCTGGTAATCGGCCGTTGAAAAGATTCAGAAAGTTTTGAGAAGCTTTGAAAACTTTCTGTTTTGACGTGGTTGTCCAGCACTTTCTGTCTAGTGCTCATTGTTCCCAACAATTTTACAGATTCTGGACCTCCGGTCACCTTTTCTCTCCCCTTTTCCAGCCTTTTAGTCACAACTGACCTTTCCACCTGTTTCTGCACTTGTCCTGTCGTTCTTGATTGTGTTATTTCCTCCCATGCTTTTGAAATTCTATCAACTTTACTTTCCAGCTTCTTTATTTATTTTTTGGGCTGGCTGCCTTTTTTTTATTTAAACCTTCCTCAGTGGAAAACTTTATACAGTACAATATGAGGGAGAAAAAAAAATACAACTAAACCTGTCGGCGGTTAAATTCAGTCACACAGCCAGACAGTCACATTTATTTTAAAACTCTTTCATCCCACGAAGTGAGAGAAAGAGAAGGAGAGGGCGACTAGGTGGAAATGTCAAACGGTCCACAGGAAAACTAATCAAAGAATGCCGGCCTTCAGTGGAACCAATGCCACAGGCCTGCTCTGTGTAAAACCCTCTTCTGTATCAACAGAGGGCACATTGTAAAGGGAGGTCAAATGTGGAGGAGCCGTGTTGTGTAAAACTCTACTGTGTAGTTTCAGAATGGAAATGGAAAGTGGAAAATGCCAGAAGGGATTGTTGTATGCCCCAAGCAAATGAAGTAGGCCCATTTCTGGATGACTGAGAAAAGGCTAAGGCGTTGTTATCGAACCACGACATTTACATTATTCTGGAAACATATTCCTGTGAGAGATATGGTAGAAATGAGCTTAATCTTTTGTTTGATGCAGTTTTCTCCCATGAAATAGGTTTTATTTTTTGTAATTTTGACCTAAAGTGCAGTCAGTTGGTAAAAAAACTTCCAGTTAATGCCAATCCTACTTTTTTTTTTTCAGATTGCATTTTGTTGTGAAATTTGATCATGGTGTTTTAGCATTCTTTTACCATTACCTAACAGACTTACAATTTACAGCTATGCAACCACAAAACCGAGCACGTCGGTATTTGAACTAAGTGCCAATTCATCAGCATACCCAAAATAATCTAAATATTTGCTTTATTCAGCCATCTTGAATTCATAGCACAAAATAAAGTGTAATTTGAAAACATGTAGACCGTTGGAGATTTTTTTTCTTAGTTCTCTGAAGGATATCTACATTCTTATTATTGATTGAAGAATCACATGGTTTTGAAAGATGTAAAACCAGCTGTTTGAGCTTAATTATCCATCAGTGAGTTTGTGAATTTTTCCACAGTATTCACATCAGACATATTTGGCTTAATATTTGGAGGCAGTGGGTTGAACTTTAAATGCAGTGCCTTTACTTTCCTAAGGCGGTAAACTCACCCTTCTTCTTTTCCTTTGCCTTGTCTCACACCATTTCTCCCTGTTTCATTTTCCAGCTCAGCATCCCTCTTCACCCAATAATGAATGCAAGAATTCTCCTTCATATGTGTTTAGCAGTGTCTGGAGGCTGGTGTCGGCCCATGGTACTTTAATTATTAATTTCACGTTATGTGCTGGCCGTTTGATCATCCTCGAATATCTGTATGATTCAGATTTAACAAGTTCCCCAGGAGATGCTGTTTTCTCTTTTTTCTATCAAGCTTGTTGTTTCAAACCTGCTGCAACTCAGGCGTGAGCAAAAACTTTTGACAGACTGTCTCTGTTAGATTTGAGCGCATGCATTTTTGGTTTGTGTGGTGTAGCTATTAAATTGTTGCTTCATTAGCTCTTCGCTGTGTCAAGCAGAAGTGTGTTTTATAACTGTCAAATCAAAATAAAAACCTAACTTTTACTGGCTCGTAATTTTAATGATCTTTTCCCAGAAGTGGTGGTGTCCTTCTCCGTAGTCTATTTCCTGATGGAGTGACAGATTTAAGCTTCTAATCATCAGCAGCTTGGCATAACATTAAGATATATATTCACAGAACTATAGAGCACTGCAGTTTGGGGAGTTGATGCGGCTGTGAGATGCACACTGAAAATGAGATATTGACTGAGATGAGATATATGTGTCTGTGTGGATGCATGAACATGCACTCAGTTGGCATTTGGAAGTGAGCCCCTTTTCAGAAATCTAATTAAACTAACTGAGTTAGGACCAGTGGTGCAGCGTTTGTCTTGTGGCCTGTTCTAATATTTTTTTCTCTCTCTCTATCTTTATTTGTCTTGCTCTCCAGCACAACCACGGTTCACTAAAGTTCCTGTTGACCAGATTGGCGTCTCGGGGGGCGTGGTCACCTTTGTCTGTCAGGCGATGGGCGACCCCAAGCCGAGGGTTAGTTGGAACAAGAAAGGGAAAAAGGTGAACTCTCAGCGTATAGAGGTAAGTTTGTGAAACCTGCTGCTGTGATGGTTGGACTTGTGTTGAAACAGTTGTGTCATGCAAAACTAGGTTATAAAATTACAACCATAACTGAGCTCATGTGGGTTTTATAAAAGTTAGGTTCAGAATGGTTGACTGAAATACATGAAATACATGCCCTCATATCAAGAGGGTTTGTTTCTGTTCAGCGCCCTGAGACGACTTCTGTTGTGACTTGACGCTATATAGATAAACTGAATTGAACTGAATTGAATTTTGGAGTTTGTCTAGTGTTAATTAATCGTAAAACATATTTTTTTGTATTCTCGTATACAATGTACATTCTGATGCGTAATAGCAGCTGTTCTTCGTTTTTAGATTTACTGTTTTATTATCCAGAGCCAATCCCAACATGCATGCAGCTCAGTAAGTTGATACAGCTGTAACACATAGTTTTAATCTTTTGGTAGTCCCATTAAATTTGTATTATTATGGTATAGTCTCCATCTGTTTTAATGTCCATAGACTTTCTCTTGTCACACCATACCTTCTGATCCACTCAAGATTATTAAGAAGTATTGTTTTTGTACTATTAGTGCTTAGCGTATTCTTAGTTTAGCATATTTCTTAGTTCATATCTTAAATCTTATTATTCTTTTTTTCTTTACAATTTATACTTTTGTTGGATGTAACTGGGACCCTGTGTACACAATTTCATTCCACCACATGTACCACATATGATGTGACTGACAATAAAGAAACCTTGACCTTGATAATTAACAACACTTAATACACATAAGCATCATCACTAGATGGAGTGTAGCATACACTTTTCAGCACCCCAGCTCTAAGGCCAAGATCACAAATCAAGGTCAAAGGGTGTACAAGATATTTGCATGCGTGAGCTATTGCTATAGATTGCAGTATTGCTGTATAATATTTGTTTACATGTGTGTAATATAGAGCAGTTGTGCCCAATAAATCAATCGCGATCTACCCGTCGATCTCAAAGGTACTATGGGTAGATCGCATGGCATTAAAAAAATAGATGTCAGCCTCGCATCCATCCTCACTATGAAATTTGTCACTTGATTGACATACAGTGCAGCCAGTCTGTGGCCCCGTTTACATGACATGAAACCGCAGCCTTTCTTCTGTGGTTCAGCTGTTCATTTACACGACAACAGCCCTCATTCTCTCTGAAACCGAAGGTTTCTGAATCCAGGTCTCAGAGTGGAGATTTTTGGGGAACCCCCTTACGGAGGTGTGAAATGCTCCGCAAGTGAAGTCGCACATGCGCACCACAAGCGTTTGCAGTCCAAAGTTTTTCTGCACTAACAACATTTATAATAACTGTCATAGAGCAGTGTTTTTGTACTACTCACTCTTTTTCAGCATGAAGGAGCAATACTAATCAAATCCAGGGTCCAAAGAGATGCTGGTGTATTCACCAGTTTGGACATAACTGTGGTCATGGAGACGCTGCATGTGCAATGAGTGCAGCTGGGTTGCCAGATAAATTTAAAATGTCTTATTTACCCCTTTTTTTTAGGTTCACGTGCTCAACAAACACAACACACACCTCATCTTAGAATATCTTTACTAAGCATATATGATAGTTTAGGTCAAAATACTATCATTTTAAATCCACAGTTCATAATTTCTTATCTGGCAACCCGACTCATGTGGAAACTACAGCATTTTCGTGTAAACCCGCTCATTTTTTGTTTATTATCCCCATTAAACATTGAAAAAACACAAACGTTTCCAGAGGTTGTTCTCTTGTAAACAGGGTCTTATAGTAGGTAGATCACTTTGACTTGGTCATTTTAAAAGTAGCTCGCATGCTAAAGTGTGGACATCCCTGAAATAGAGTATGCAGTACTCTTGTCTATTTATTTATTTTTATACTGCGTGATGCTGTTCTAAAATCAAACTCACATGATGTTATACATCCTTATTACAAATGTGTGCTATTTTATTTTTCCTTTAGCATTTTGACAAAATGTTGCGGTTCAAATCCACTTCTCTAACTTGTAAACATCTACGAGTTCACTGTCAGCTACAGCTGCCTGCTAATGAAATGCAGAGCTGTCCTCTTCCTTAAACTCTGTCCTTTTTTGCACTTGACTGACTCTGTTTGTGTCACCTTTTTCCAGTGCTGTTTTTCTTTTTTTCTAGATGCAGCCCCGTCTGTGTGATAGGCCTGTGTGTTATTCATGATGTTTGTTATTCACTTCTCGGCAGGCATCCCAGATGGCATCTCTAAAAGTCTTGACTGATGCTCAGTGTCTCTTAATTAAAAAGTTGCTCTGTTTGACAATGACAACAATGACAGCGAACACATACATGTGCACACTCAAACCCACACCTACACATTGCAGCAAGAAAAAAACCACGGGAGGGCACTGAAAAGCAGAAAAAAAATTAAAAGGGATGAAAATGACAGGAACATCAACGGAAAGATCAGATTCCCCACTGAGGACAAAATAAAAAAACAAGTTGTTTTTTTTGTGCACTTTATTTGTGCATGCTAAGTGGAAAACAAAGCCAATGGTGCAAACAAGCCAATAGAATAGATGTTTCTCTTTTTTCATTTAGCATGAAATAAAAAAAGGAAGTGGTAGTTTTTTTTTTTTTTTATCTTGTCTGTTCTACCCTCTATACCGCTGCATTGATACTGATCATGAAGCCATGCTCTGCAGTGTTTTTAGCCTAATTATCAGGTGGGGCCTGGCATGTAGAGCAGATGAACAGCAGAGATGCTAAAGACTCATATTTGTGTCATGTTTTGCTCAGATCTCAGCAGCAAGTCCTTCTTTGAGATGGTGTAAAGTTCCCTGGGGAAGGACAGATACTGGAATAGTTGCTGTGCTGTGAGACTGACAGGCTGACCATCTTTCCTGACACATCGGTCCAAAATTAAAACACAAGAGATGGGTTGGGTAAATGACTGCCAGTGGTAAAAGCTAGGAGTAATTAACTCAGAATTACAATAAAATAAATTAGAGTTTTATGGCTATTGATGAATTTAAGAGAAATGCTAAAAAGTTCATCCACATGCGACCAGAGGGCTAGTGTTGGTGATAAATGTCAAAACTGCCACACAATTAAGTTTTACTAACAGAAATGGATAAAGGTTTTATGTAGTTCTTGTTCAATAGCCTTTTCAGTAAAACTATAACATGCAACATCTCAACTTTCTGGATTTTATTTCAAGAGGTTTCTTTTACAACATAGCTTAGAACAAAAGCCTTCGTGAGACCACAGTGTATAATTACAGAGAAAAATTAGATAAAAATACAAACCATGTGTAAAGAGTGTTTCCATATATTGTGTTTTAGGAGCCTTAGGCTATAAAAAGAATAGACACAAAGTATTTGTCCAAACAAGCGTATCTTGTTTCAACATGTTTCTTCTTTTTCACAATAAACAAAAGCACACCCATGCCACGTGCATGCCTGTCTTCAAGTGCCCTACCTTGCACATTTCAAAACTGGAGGTGTTTACAGTAAGATCCTGATCTTAGCTGTTTTGTGCTTCACCCCGCAGACTATTGAGTTTGATGAGGGTGCCGGCGCTGTACTCAGAATCCAGCCACTCCGTGCCCCGCGTGACGAGAACATCTACGAATGCGTAGCTGAGAACAGCGAGGGCGAGATCACCGTCAACGCCAAGCTGTCCATCATCAGAGGTGAGTCATATACAGTGAAACAGTGTGCTGAGCTTTAATATCAACATGTTTGTGGAAACCCAGGAGCCCTTTTCATGTGTATCTGCCAGTATTTGAGACAACCTGCTTGAGAACGTGTCTGTACTTTTTTCTTTGGAATTAGAAATGAGGAAAAACCTTGCGTTTACTATAAAAGTTGTTTTTATGCATGTATACAGTCATTTTTCCATATATTTAATCTCATTATTTTGATTTTTAAAAAATGCATGCCATTTCATTTCAATCCAGAAACATATGTCTTATGAAGGCCTACACTTCATCTATAAAATTGTTATTGACTGAGTCCCAAAAAATCTTTTCATTTCACTTATTTCAGTCTGTAACAGACTCATTCTAATTTCTAGATGAAGACTGTGAAGACTGAAAATGACACATTTTCATAGCACTAATCAGCTGTCATTCATACAACAGCTGCACCTCTCACTGACAGCTTACCGTGCCCCTGAATGCAGTAGATTGATTGGCCGTCCACAGACAGTCAGACCACAACATTTGACAGATTCACAGAGATGTCCACTCCAACAAAATTATCTGAAATGTTTAAATAAAGTCTCCAGCAGATGATAAAGGTGCCACTTTGGCTTAAGCAAAGGCAATTTGGTTGTTGTGAGCTCAGAGGTCACAGAGGACAATATCACAGCCAAGCAAGCATGCTGTTACATTCTCACACTTCAATCTTATACTACCTTTTTGTCTGCTTTAAATGCAGACAAACATACACAATGGTGTCTTTTTCTCTTTTGTTCTCTTCTGCTGCCAGCTGCCATGTTTCCAGGGCTGGATGAAGCTGAGCTAATGCTGCCTGGCTGGCAGCACACAAGCTAGGCCTTCATGGCTGTTGCATCCACAGACGTTTGTGTGGGCAGTAGTCAGGTGGTGATGGTGTTAGACCAGATAACCTGGCCCAATGTCTTGGTCTTATTTTCTATAAAAAAACAACAACTGGACAGTTCTGTATTTTCTCAGATGTGAAGCTACAATTACGGTTTAATTATTTGTAACAGGAGTACTGGTAGTTAAGTGGCAGCTGCCTGCAAACCGTTAGAATTTAAGTATTCTTTTCTTTAATTAATCCAATCCAAATGCACTCCGATTATCTAGGAATGTCTTTATCACCTTAGTTTGTTTTAGTAGAAAATATCATGGGGCTCACAACAGATTCTGCTGCTTTTCAACACATGCACTTAGCTTCAGCAAAATTATTTCCAAACACAACCCTAAAAATCCAGGGTAGTTTATGGGTCAAACTTGAATAACAATCTGCATTAAGGTATACATACTTTATTAAGGTTCTGAATAATAGTGGGGGGAAGGAAAGTCTGGGATTATCATCATTGTACGTTCCCATACAATGGCAAAATTAGTTATCTGCATTTAACCCATCTCACCTGGGATACAGGGATACACCCAAGTGGAAGTGCCCGGGGAGCAATTAGGTATTAGGTGTCTTGCTCAGAGACACCATGACATGTGGAAATGGCTGGGAGTCGAGCCGCGACTTTCTGGTCCCAAGTCGGCTGCCCTACCTCTACCCCATCTCAGCCCCATAGCAATAGCTTCACAATGTTACAGTATGTCATAAAGTGAACACTCGTTATTTATCAGACTGTGCTATGTTGCATGTAAATGAAAACACCATTGTAAGTATTCTAGCTTGACCACGTAGAAATAGAGCTGTCATTTCTAACCCGGGCGCAAAGCCCAACCCTAATTTGGGCTGGGCCATAATAATGTGCTGGATCGGTGTTGGGCTTTTGATGACGTCAGCGGATCAGCCGTGATCCAATTATAAGGGAACTTGGCTTGCCAGACAATCCAATTATATGGCAACATGGCTTGCCATACTTCACCAGCCACAGGTGGCTATTTGACCGCCAGCTAACCAGCCTTGAAAGAGGTAAAATAAAGTCCAGTTAAGCTTCAGATGGGACGGGTACTGCCAGGAAGTGATCCATCACCCAAATGGACGTTCAGCAACTGCACTCAGCGGACGCACGCGGCCAACGACCCAAACAGGTGAGATCCTAAAGCAGACATGTCGTGGCAGGGTCCGAGTCTGAATAATGCAGAATGCAGGCAGAAGCAGGGATTTAATGCGCTTTGATGGCCTTGAAAGGACAAACACCCCCTCAGCTCCGATTTTCTGCCCCTTTTATTCAGCCGCGCGCATCCACCGACCGTTAATAACTATATAAGCAGTCAAAGCTTAATTAAAAATGTTGTGGGGTGGGTTTCAGGATCGGACCTGTAATTAATGTTAATTCATCTGGTCGGTTGGGGTTCGGAAATGATGGCTACGGGCTGAGGCCTAGCTGGGTCTGATTTTTTTGGGCTCTGAAGCAACAAAACTTAGAAATACTAAAATTTGTATTTTAGAATTATTATTTAACTTAAAGCACTTTAAGATGTTTGACTCATGTGGCATCAATTATATTTATGACAAACTGCATTTGCTTGAACAAACAGTTTAAGATGCAAAAAATTATGTATGCAGGTGTACAAATATGGTTTGATAGCCATGCTGCATTTTTGGAGTTCTGTATAAGCCCACTCCAGAGAGTCTTTCGCAATGAAAGAGTGGGCTTGTAGAAAAACCAAACATCAGGGAACAAACACATCAAACTCTGTTCTACGTGTTTAGACATGCCCATGTTGGTCTGTTCAGAAGGAGGACAGAGCAAATCTACAAACCTCCACAACAGCTCAAGGAAAAAACAAATAATTGAGATTGACTCTGCAAAGATTCCTCTAGAGTCCAGAAGAAAATGGCAGAACTCCTGCCCAGGCAGGACCTGGCACTGAATGAGGGATTGGGGTGTGAGGATGAGGGTGAGCGATAAGTAACTGAATAGAAGCGCAGAATGTTCTGTTTACCTGAGAAAGTAGGCTGAAAGAAAGTAAAACAGAAGTGTGAATACAGAAGAAGAATTCAATTAGGGATGTTGGTGGATTAAACCAGAGGGAAAAATAAAATAAAAACTATTGGAAAAAGTTGGCTTAAGATGAAGTAAGGCAACGGGAGATGCAGATGATCAACAATGTGGAACAGATGAAGAGGACAATGGCTGGATATGGGTCCTTGGAACATGGCAAAGGATTATAGGATATAGGACAAGGCACAAGAGACATTTCCAGTAAACAGAGGGGATATGGTCTGGGATTTAGAGGCAGAAAATGGGTCGCCACGATGGGTGACTTGGCCAAAAAAGCTGTAGCACACATATGCAATAATGTACAGCACATGGAAACCCACAAACCTGCATTAACAAATGCACATAAATATGCAGTAAGATTTTGAGCAAGCATTCATCCGTGGTTTTACACAACAATGCAGAATCCTCACAGAATGAGAATTATTTCCTTAAAATACCCGCAAGTGTTGGCGTCTTTGCGTTTAAGTTTTTGTAGAAATGTGTGTGTGTCTGTGTGTATACCAAGAACAGTGGAATATATTGCTTTTGCTGTCGTAGTGAGAACTAATTTAGCATGACAGCATGTGGGATCTGTTTGGAATTTCAAAAAGTATTTATAACGTCACACTTCTCGCTGCACACAACTCCATGCTTCCCTGCACTTTTAAAGATACGCACGAATACAGCAAAGATATAAAATCCTTTAAAGCTCTGTATAAACATATAACCACACCTGGTGCGCAGCATTCACCCACTAACATCTACAAGAAAATGTACACATATATGTACACTGAACTTAAAAATCCGTCAGTCAAAGCCACATTCCCATCTCATTCTACTTTAACTATGCTGTATCAATGACAACACCTCATTTTGTCATCTGTTGTTTCTGCGTTGTTTGTATGTATGATCATGCTGTATGTTGATGGCGATGGCAAGGTGCATTTAGCTTTCACAGTGACACCTCCTTGGCTGCTCGAGCAGCAGCTGAATACCTAAGATAGGGCCATCTGGTCCCTCTAAGACTTTCACGCTGTCCTCTGGGAGTCCTTGGAGAGGGACCGAAAAACATATGAAGTACTCTCTCAAGATGACACAACTTGTTCTTTTTTTTCCTATTTGTTGTCAGTTTTCTTAACTTAAATTTTATTTTATTTTATTTTATTTTTGCAATGATGTGTATTACAGAGTCAGAAGTAAATGTGAGTAAGTTGCCACTGAGGTATTGTCAGCTCACGCGGTTGTGAGCAGATCACAGCATGTTATCCTTTTTGAGCCTCTCCTCTTTCCTCCCTTTTACTTTTTCTGAAATATTGGGCAACTCTGATTACAGTTGCACTTGGATTATCCATGATGAATGCCAAGGACTGAAAAAAATTAGTCAAATGTTTATTATTTATTTGGGGGAAAAAAAAGTTTTAAAAGATTCTCCCCTCACATTTTGCTACCCTCAAACTGATCACAGTCTGCCATAGCAGCTCTGGAGGCAAAGATTTACTGTTTGTTAAATTAAGCTCCTGCGTTAAAACCAGCAAACTGCTTCATTCTGCTTGATCCAAAAGGCACACTAAACTCACATTTATGTCCCCCCCCCCCCCCCCCCCACACACACACACACATGCATTCACTCAAACACAGTCAAGCTCACGTCTTTGTTTTCATTCGCCACTCACGGCCAGGTGGAACCAATCAAACTTATCCTTCTCTGTCTGTCAGCATTTTCGTACTCTGACCCCAAACCTTCACTTTTCTCCTCTGTGGGTACTAAGTTGCAAGCCTGGTTTTTGTACAGAGCACTTGCTTTGTTCATACTTTTTTTTATGGATTTTAGTGGAAACTGGTGAATTATTGCTGCCTACATATTTGTGTGAATTAGGGAAAATGGGTTTGAAGTCCTCACAAATTGCATGTGCAATTTTGATTTTTTTTATTATTATGATTGCACTGAAACTAAAAACTACAAAAATATGTTTTTGGCAAAAACCAGCAATGTACAATCCAGCCTCAGAGGTCATACACTGTGAGGCATGAGGGTCTACTGTTTGATCA